GATAAGGTTCTTCTTTCGAAGATATCGAGCAATTTCCATTTTTCAAATATCCATATTTGCACAATCGATTAGCGATGCATCTGAATGACAAAGATGAAATCTGCAGCTGTAAGCAATGTCGCATGAACTAACTTTTGAAGACACTGATTCCTCAAATTGGTATTCTTGTGATAGTGTGATATATACATGGCGTTTCTTGCTGAACAGTTCACAAGTGGATGATTGCAAATATTTTCAAATACCTGAAAAGATACTGTTATCGAGCTGTAGGTTCCTAAGTATAATCTAAACTGGAATCCGTAAAGCGATTTTCAATTTTGAAAAGTTTTGCTTAAAATGTTATTGACACTATAATAATCATCATATCTGGACTGTCTATTCTAGCATTTTCTATTTTACAAATATTTAATATAGGGAGAAAATATTTTTCTTCAGAAATTGCAGAATTAAGGGCGAGGAGGAGGAGGCATTGGTATAGAGATATGACTAAGCTTGCAGAAGCCTCGTACAGAGTTTTATATTTGCGACATATTGAATTAGATGAATGTTCTTGGCAATATTTACGTTTTGGATCAGGGTTAGATTTTGTTTGTTTTTATAGAAGAATTATAGGGTGATAGCTTACGGTAGCCTTAAAAAAAGAAATAATCGGATGAAACACACTTACCTGGTAATCATCAGTAATGAAGTTGAATTTCTGACCATAATGATCATAATAAATTAGAAAACACTCGGAGTAATACTCATTATAAACAACATAGTCGCAATCATTGCACATTTTGATGCACTAAAATAACTCTTCTTGGTAAAAAATGGGATTTTTGGGTATATAAAAAAAAGAAAATACCTTGGCAAAGCCACCAGCGACATTCAACAACTTCGCCTCACCCCGGATCACCATCTCATTCCATGGGATCATATGGAAAGAATTTGCGCATTCCTTACCTAAAGTGTAAAAGCTATGTTCTATGTGGTCCAAACGTTCGTATAACACAAAAACTTCGAACAGGGTAACTTTCAGGGTAACTTCAGCCTTCTTTTTTGCTTCTTTGGGACCAACACAGAGTTCTATCAAATTTAA